TTCCTTCGTCTCTCTCGGAGAGCCTGGCAAGCTACCGAGAGTATCTCGCCTACACGGCAAAGCCTGGCAAGCTACGTGTGATGTATTCAATATGCCCAAAACAGTAACAAGTCTCACAATTTGTTGTGAGATGTTACTGGTGCCCGCTCGAGCAAATTTATGAACACGGGAGGACAGTGACAGTGACAGTGTAACAAAGGTAAGAAAATAAAAGTACGTGTTTTTTTTCATATATTGATGAGTACTGATTAGTAACAAGTCCAATGAGCAACAAAGAAGATATTCATTATGGAACTAGCATAAATTTAGTAGTTTATTTAGTGAACTAATGCAACTTGATCATAATTATTTTGGAAGTATGGAAAACTAGTTTAGAAACTTATACTTTTACTTGGGCACAGCTGTTATGAATATTTCGTATTCATTACACATCTGTTAGTAAAATATGGATGATGTAGAGTCTAATGATTTCTGTGTTAGTCATTACCAGTACCATGCAGGAGAAGTCCGAGTTTGGTATCTGAGAATGTGTTTCCCATGCTACCTCAGGGTCTAACTTCACCAGGGACTGTTCCAGCTGTTACTTCAGTGAGCAGCATCTGCAACACATTTGCCACACCTTCCAGTTTTATCTTGAAGAATGATCCCAGGGGACTCAGTATGTTCAAACAGGAGAAGCAGAAGGTTTGTTTCAGGGAGCTAAGAGATAAGGAGTCTGATAGTATAACTAGTTATATTACTGTAGTTACCTAGATCATAAGGATTTTTTAAGTTGAACAGAAAATGTTTAAAATAATACTAGAACTACAGATCACTTAATCATGCTCACAAACTTCTGTTTGGAATAACAAAAATTCAACCCTTTAAGTATCAGTATAAGCAGGTCAAATACAAGTATGAACATTATTATGAAGTTGACTCTGATTATTCCTGTCACTGAGACTTTGGGAACATATCTTCAGAAGGTAGTTGGAAATGTATTTGACTAGACCAGCAGGCATAGTGGGAGTAAAGTTCAGAGCTGTGATATATGATTCTCCAGGCAAGTATATTTGTATATGTATTTTTTTTAATTTAAAGATAAGTGAAAATACTGTATTATCAAAACTATCAAATAAAGCTAACTCCTCTTTGTTGTTTACAGTAGCCTAGAATAGGAGAATTTGTGATTAAAGTTCAAAGGGTCTTAGGGTATAAATGAACGTAGGGTGTGTGTTTGTGTCTGCCTGCATGTTTGCGTGTGTCTGTGTATGTCCATGCGTGTGCACGCCCACTCAGTGCCTACTCAGTGTTCACTTAGTGACAGCTCCTCAGTAAAACTAATGAACTAATAGTAACTCTTCAGTGGGATAATGATTTTTTTTATTTTCATTTACCATTTCTTGCTTACTGGAAATGTAAGGAACTGTTCCCCCATGATATTTTTTGAAAAGAGTAATAGTACTTGGCTTTGCAGGAAATACATGTACTATGCCTCGAATAATATAACCATTTATTTAAATGCCTATTTCTTTTTGGTTTTTAAATTTTCCTTGTATCACTGATCCTAGAGAATTGGCTTTTTTTTTTCTTCTTCCTTTTGGGTTACACCCTGTGATGCACAGAGGGTTACTCCTGACTCATGCATTCAGGAATTACTCCTGGTGTTGCTCAGGGGACCATATGGGTTGCTGCTGGGAATTGAACCTGTGTCAGCCACATGCAAGGCAAACGCCCTACTCGCTGTGCTATCGCTCCAGCCCCGAGAATTGGCTGTTTAAAAATGAAATTAGATGTTGTAATTTTGTTATTCCTATCTTGTCTCTTAATACCAGATTAAGACTTTTTAAGTATATTTCTGATTTGATGATTCAGCCTTGACCTTAGCCTTTTGATTCCCTTTATATGCTCTACGTCCCTTATTCTAAGAGTGAGCAGCCCCTGCTGCTGGGGAGGTAGCTGAGAGGATCTGCAGATCCCCCAGTTTGATTGTTCTTCTGAGCACTGCTGCTTGTGAGCCTGAAGCCCACCTTACTACTGGGCCCAGTAAAAAGGTAAAGTAAAGGCCCTCCCGTTGATCATCGATTTGCTCGAGCGGGCCCAGTAACATCTCCATTGGAGACTTTGTTGTTACTGTGTTTGACATATTGAATACGTCACGGGGAGCTTGCCAGGCTCTCCCCAGGTAGCACCCAATCAGGCCCCATTGTCCCTTCTGTCCAGTACAGCTAGGCTGAATGTAACAGAGTGGCTTCTGGGGCCTCCTGAGCACTGTGGGGAGCCTCCGTGCCTACCATGTCCACCAGACCCCCAAAAGTGAGCTGCCCCACAGCTCATTCAGCTCCTTTGATATTTCTAAGCCTGCATTGAAAATACTGGTGTCCCCACCCCATTTCCAATCCCTGGCTCGCTCTCTTACTAATTACCAGTAGGAATAATTTAGACTACTGGAGTTGAAATTATGAAGGGTTAAAAAGAATTCTGTATTAAAAGGTGTAGATAGCTAAAAATGAATTAATGAATAGGGGATACTGCAAATAGGTTAAATATTACAAAGGGAAATTTTTTATGTTGTTTCATGGCTTTTATCTCTTATGTCACAGTATTGTGTTAATGAAAGTTAACTATTCTTCAGTTTCCCGAGTCACAGCCTGTCGAATCCCTTCAGTTTGCTTGTTTCATGGTTCTCAGAACAGCCAGTCTTCTCTTTCTGAACGAGTTTGAAGCAGCTCTGAAGGAACTTGGTCTGTCCTTGGAGCCAGGCCTCACTAATGCCCTCCTGAAGGAATCAAATTCACAGTCACAGCTCCTTAGTGTTTCCTTCAGACTTTCAGATTGTTATTACCTGAGTGATGTTTCCCCCTCCCCATTTAGATCTCCAACAGTTGGGTTATATATGCTTATATTTTAAATATATAAATAAATTAGTTTTTTTTTCTATCAGCTATGTATGTTGTGACTGTTTTGTAGGGGGCCTAAGTATATGAAATAAGTATTCTCCATAACTTGTTCTATAACATTCCTGAGAAATACTTAATATTTATGGGGTTTATAAGCAATATGACATTAAGAAAAATGTTAATAAAAAAGGAAACCTGATTTGCTTCCATAAAAAAATGCATTTGATTTCAAATTCCAGAGAATGGGGAAGGTGCCCATCAAATGTCTTACAAAATGAAATGGACTTAATGACATCACTTTGAGTGATAAAAAGACATATAAGTCAGTAGAAAAACAGTGGTTCATGAGTGCTAAGTGTTAGGGTAATATGTGTATTATTTTGGGCTGAAGCAATAGCACAGCGGGTAGGGCGTTTGCCTTGCAAGCGGCCAGTATGGCTGACCCGAGTTCGATGCCTCCGCCCCTCTCGGAGAGTCCAGCAAGCTACCAAGAGTATCTTACTGCAAAACCTGGCAAGCTCCCCGTGACGTATTCAATATGCCAAACGTCGTAACAGTTGTCACAATGGAGACATTACTGGGCCCGCTTGAGCAAATCGATGAACAACGGGAGGACCGTGACAGTGATGTATTATTTGAGACAAACTGATGAAGAATATTGGCGGAGAGCAAAATATGTCTAAAATATTTTGGACCTACTGTGCTCAGGCTACTCCTGGTTCTGGGCACAGCAGTGACCTCTGGTGGTACTTGGGATACTATATGTGGTGCTGGTGATTGAACCAGGATTGGGTCTCATGCTGGGCAGGTGCCTTAACCCGCTGTGCACTCTGATCCGCTAAAACGTTACTATTAATGGAAATGGGATTGAATTTGGAACAGCATTGAAAAGAGTTAAGAATTATAAAACTAGCAAGAGGAAAATTTTGAGAAGGAAGATGACAAGTCTTACTTAAAATCATTCATAAATGTGAAGGTTCTGGAGAAAAATTCAGATGTTAACATGTCATATGTGTGTGTGATATAAATTAATTTATTAATTTTTTAACGTGAATTAGGAATAATGATACTTTTTGTGCTGAGTTTAGGGGGTAAATGCATAAATATATCCTGTTTATAAGAAATACAGCATTTTACCCCTTGAATACTTTATACTTGCATTTATTTGGGGATGTTGGGATGGTGTAGTGAGATGGGGCATGGTACTATACCACTATAGTGAGTGATACTGTAAAGATACTAGAATCAAGGGTATTGAGTCATTTTAAACCACAGGCTCAGGAATACTTACGCACATCCCTGCTTATCTTGATGCTTTTGTCACTAGTTTATATTTGATGTTGAGTAAGAATTGTGAGTATTGTAACTTTAAAACAAAGTACTGCAGTGATTCCCATACTGAATCACTGGGATCAAAGCCAGCAGTTTAATGATCTGAAGGAATCATTTATGTTTGAGTTTATGAACTTAACTTTTGTCTCCCCTCTCCTTTTTTGTGATAGGTTTTTGTTCATTACTTCCCCTTTATATTCTCCAGGTTCCCCTACTTCACCCCATTAATGGAAGTTAGGTTTTCTTTCAAATGTTATTCTTTAGAAAGTTTCCTAATGTCTTGGGTCAATTCATGTAACATCCTCTGCCTTGAAAAACCTCATTTGAATTGCAGAATCAGAGCTCTGAAAGTGACCTTCATATTTGGAGTTTGGTTGGCATCAATCTTTCAGCATATTGCCACTGAATAAATACTGTTGACTAAAGTGCTGAGTTTAGGGGGTAAATGCATATAGAACTGTCTCTTGCCCTCCCAGCCTTTGAAGTATTATAGGAAAGGACATCAAAGATACACTGATATATGATAAGTGCTTTAGTCCCAAGGTAAGTGCAAATGGGTTACGGGACTAGAGGGAGTGGGTTGCATATTTTGACTTCTCTTACTGATGACATTTACGATTTAGTCCTAAAATTGTTGACAGATTACTATAATTTTATATTTTAAAAAAAGTCCTAGTGAAATTGGATGTTTTCAAATCTTTTCATTTACATAAGTTTTGAAAAGCAGGTTGTGGACTTTAAAAATTAGGAGATGGGGTCTATTAAATTGCTGGTATTTTTGTACTACAGAATGACATGGAACCTAGCAAAGCTGTTCCACTGAATGCATCTAAGCAAGATGGACCCATGCCAAAACCGCATAGTGTTTCACTCAATGATACTGAAACAAGAAAACTCATGGAAGAATGTAAAAGACTTCAGGGAGAAATGATGAAGCTATCGGAAGAAAATCGACATCTGAGAGTGAGTCTTTTTATTGGTTAAAACATGTAACTGACTAAAATGAAGGCATTGGGTTTGTGAACAGTGGTAGGCCATTTTATCTATTTAAAATTTATTCTGGATCAATTCTTGATCTTTTCCCATTTTGATTATTTGCTATTCTTTGCTCCTCACTCCCATTTTCTTTTTGCAGTAATACTATGGTTTCAAACTGCCCACATATTTCTTTCTTAGCAGATGACCTTTGTTATCTGTGACCTGTCCTGGTATAACTAGCTTCTTCTCTTGTGCCTTTTCCCCATTCAGTGGTGTAGTCATGGGAACCCCTAAACAGCACTCTCCCCTAGAGCAGAACTGTTTCCATGAGAAGCTGAGACCACCTCAGGCAGGGTCACGTCGGAGTTGGGGGGTGAAACAAGATTAGTAAAGTAATTGTGATTTGCTGTCAGTAAGGGTTTGATCTGTATTTGTGAACCTGGGGTCACCTACGTGTTTTCTGGGCAGAAAAGGGTCACCAGTAGAAATTTAAGAAGTGGAAGTCACAGGAGCTCACTTGGCATAGTGAAGAGACCTGGATTGAGATGGACTCTGCTGATTCCTTAATGTAAAGCTTTCTCTTTGTATTGTTGATATTTATTTATTTATGCTTTTTGGGTCACATCTGGCGTTGCACAGGGGTTGCTACTGGCTCATGTGCTCAGGAATTACTCCTGGCAGTGCTCGGGGGGACCATATGCAATGCTGGGACTCAAATCTGGGTTGGCTGCGTGCAAGGCAAATGCCCTGCCCGCTGTGCTATTGCTCCAGCCCCTGAAGGATTCTTTTAGATGGAATAAAAGTCACTGGGTTTGACTAGATCTTTTTGCATCTTTAATGTACCACCAAAAAATTTAAAACATGGTTCATGTTTGAAGCTTTCATTTACAGCGGCCAGCAGTGGATAGTTTTCCTAAGGAGGCATTTATTTTAGCACTTCCCTTTTGCTTTAGCTTAAGCATTTCTCTCTCAGCGAACAAATCCTGTCATAAAAGCCTGCCCTTGAACATGCTAGTATGCCCATGGATTCCACACCCACACTTGTCTGGGAACTCTTCCTGTCATCTTCTCTGTTTTCTTACCGTGTCCTCCTAAAAGAAATTGTTTTGAAATTCTATCTTCTTTGGATTTTTATTATAACTCCTATGTCTTACTGCTGTATTTGTTGGGTATCTTTATCCAGTTGTTCCCTTGCAGGCAAGAATCACGTGTGTTGATCTTTGTCTTCATAGTGCATACGTAGTGGTCGTTCATTTGAATTGTTCTCTCTCTCTCTCTCTCTCTCTCTCTCTCTCTCTCTCTCTCTCTCTCTCTCATGTGTTGCGGGGGGGTACTCAGTGGCACTCAGGAATCACTCTTGGAGGGACCTAGAGCAGCATATATTGGGCCAGGAATCAAAGCCAGATCGACTTTGTGTGTAAGGCAAGCACTCCACCTGCTGTAACTTTGTCCAAGTCAAACCTTTTTGTATGAAACGAATTGGTACAAAGTTGCATATGTATATGAAAAAGGCATATTATGGGGCTTAATCTACACATGATTATTCTCGCTGTTAAAATGTAGAGAGAAACTGCTCTTCCTTTCCGTATTTGGTGGTGTTGGGGATTGAACCCCATGTCTTGCTCATGGAGGGCACATTCCCAGGCCCAGGACTATCCTCCCCTGCAGGAGCTGTGCATGCAGAGGCCTTGGTTGAATCCCTCAGCTCCACCAGGGACATAGACACCCCACAGACCTTGTGGGGTGAAAGGCATTGTATCTTGAATTGATTGGTGTTATACTAATCTTTCTAAATATCTCCTCATACTGATAGTACCCCCTCTAGGGGTTCATTGCCCCAGCACATTTATTGGAGTAATGGGGAGAATTTTTCTGCGTCACACCTACATCTATACTTGGAGTTTGAAGGAATGTAGTTCAACTTGATAGACTGTGGATGACTTCCATGGTTTCATGAATTGTTTGATGAATAGAAAAAAAATCACTGTTCCTTGTCAGAAAAGGAAATGGTAACTCCAAACTCTTTAAGAATGGTAGTAGGTGTGGGGCAGTGCTGGAAAGTAGGGAGGTTGAACAAGAGAGGCAACTGAAACTTTTTTCCTACTCATAATGACTAATGGTGCTAATGGGACCATGTTTTAGAAAACATTCTGCTGGAGGCTAGAGAGATAATACAGCAGGTCAGGTGCTTGCCCTGTACACTGCTGGCTTTGGATCTATCCCTGGCACTGCGTGTGTTTCCACCAACCACTGCCGAGTGATCCCTGAGCACCTACTCACAGAACCTCAATAAAAATTTTTAAAAATGAATTGGATACTGTTTTTACCTTGTAGTGCAGACTTGATACTGGCCCTTTAACACGGAGCCCTTCTATTTTACTGTGAGCATTATCAAAGCATTTAGTTACTTGTATTTATTCCCAGTTGCCTTTCTTACACAGCTCTGTTTCCTTCCTTAGTAAAATCCTTTTTCGATCTCTGTGGTGCCTGTGCCTTGATCCAGTAAGGATAAAACCATACAGGTTTGATTCTGAAGTCCAGTTGTTGGGACTAGGACAGATATAACTACTGACAAAATTACTATGAGCTTTTTCAAACCCTTTGGAGAAACCTCTCTTGAACATAACTGTCTGTCCCCCTCCCTTTTGCCCTTTCCACATCTCTTTCCCTCTGTCCCTTTTCTGAATTTCGAAAAAATAAAAAGTATTTTAAAAACAAGGTTACTCTCTTGGAAATAAATATATTGATTTCATTAGCATTTTTTACAAAATTTTTATTAGTGAGACACCATGAGGTACACAAATTTTTGTGCTTGGGTTTCAATTATACAATGATCAAACACTCATCCCTCCACCTGTGCCCATTTCCCACCACCACGGATCCCAGTATCCCTCCCACCCCCCATCCCCCCCATCCCACCCTGTGTCTGTGGCAGGGCATTCCCTTTTGTTCTCTCTCTCCTATTGGGTGTTGTGGTTTGCAAAAGAGGCAATGGGTGGCAATCATGTTCATTAGCATTTTTTGCCTGCTGTGGAAATAACAGCCGTATATTTTCCCCTCAGTTTTCTAGGAATAGATTTTTCAGCACCAGTTTTAAAACACAGTGTTTAGACTAAGGTATGATTCACACTCCAGAAACATGAAATTGAGCATACCAAAAAAATTGTGATTGTTAGTAGATGTTTAGGGTTGGGCATCCATCACTAGAATCCAGCTGCAGATCGTTTCTCTCACCCTGGAAAGTTTCTTCTGCTCTTTAGTCCCTGTCCCGTATTTGGTAGTCTCACATGCTTATTTGTTTTTAAAAATCTTAATTTTCTACCTTTTTCCTAGGATGAAGGCTTACGGCTCAGAAAGGTAGCGCATTCGGATAAACCTGGATCCACCTCAGCTGCATCCTTCAGAGATAATGTCAGCAGTCCTCTTCCTTCCCTCCTTGTTGTGATTGCAGCCATTTTCATTGGATTCTTTCTAGGGAAATTCATCTTGTAGAGTGAAGCATGCTGAGTGCTATTTCTTTCTTTTTTTCCCTCTTGACCAGAAAAGATTTGTTTACCTACCATTTCATTGGTAGTATGGCCCACCGTGACCATTTTTTTTTGTGTGTGTGTGTACAGCGTCATATAGGCTTTGCCTTTAATGATCTCTTACGGTTAGACAAAACAATAAAACTGTTCGGCTTCTGGACAAAAATTGTATATTATCACATCATCACTAGCAGATGTCAGTTGCACATTCAGTCCTTTATGAAATTCATAAATAAAGAATTGTTCTTTGTGGTTTTAATAAGAGTTCAAGAATTGTTCAGAGTCTTGTAAATGTTATTTTAATAATCCCTTTAAATTTTATCTGTTGCTGTTACCTCTTGATATATGATTTATTTAGATTGCTAATCCCACTCATTCAGGAATTGCCAAGAGGTAGTCTTTGGGGGAAATGGTGCCTCTTACAAGTGTAAATTTTCTCCTTTACCTTTGCTAATATCATGGCAGAATTTTTCTTACCCCTTGTGAGGCAGTTGTGACTGAGTTTTTCATCCTTACAATCCTGTCCCATGATATTTAACATGAAAGAAAATAAAACTGTTAACAGATTCTCGCGCAATAGCTTGTTTGTGTCTGTCGTGTCATTAGAGGGAACTAGGAATGGCATGGGGATTTGCAGCTTCTCATGCACGTTTTCACTTCCAGTGCAGCCCTTCAGATATTGCAGTCTTTTTAGTTAAAAGTTTCATTCTCTTATTAAAAGGAATTCATAGAACTTCAAGTAATTTTTGGTGTTTTGGAAGATCATAGTAAGTGTGCTTTCAGGGTAATCTGAACAAATACCACAAGAATAAAAGAAGTACTTTTAGTCATTTTATGTGTATGTCTTGTGACTTTTATGTGTTTAACTTCCCACATTCTTAACAGGTTCTTATAGTAGCTTCTGAAGGAAGATAAATTCTCCCTGGTTTAGTTAAGTGCTTTTTAATAAGCCGAATAACAATTTCATTATATAGCACTACATAATATTTAAAATAGATGTTTTTTTTTAATCTGCTCATTTTGTCCCTCAAAGTAAATTTCCATGATGTAAATTTGGTATTTACTGAGTTAGCCTTGGGAATTTTCTTTGTGAAAAATGACTTTATTCTTTTCAAATCTCTTAATTATGTGAAATGCATTTTCAGTTTTAAAAGCATTATTAGGGTCTACTACTTTCCTGCACTTAGTCTTACGTCTTATTTCATTTGCACTAGCGTATAAAATTTGTACCCAGAGAAAATACATTGCGTTTTTCTTCTCAATACAGTTTAATACAGATAAATTTATTTCTGAAATTAGTTGTTTGTGTCTGAAGGGGAATTTGGTCTATGAGACTAGATGTGGTGCAGTGAAGTATGTTAGGCCCAGGTCTGTGTGTACATTATAAAAAGAAAAGTTTCGTTGTGCTTCCATTTCAAATGTTTTGGATTTGTCAGATTGTCATTGTGCACTCTGGTATATTTTTAAAAACCTCTTGCTTGTGTCTGAAAGTTATCAAAAACAAGCACAAGTAACACCTGTCCATTATTAGCATGCTTCTGGGATAATGTTTCCATTATTGTACACTTTATAGTCATTGTAAAATTTCCATCCCTTTCTGATAAATGGAAAAGCATGCTAAAAAAAGTCTTGCATTTGTCTTATAAATGCAGAATCAGTAATTCCTTGGCTAAAAGCTCTATATAATTAATATTGGTGAAAAGTATCAAGCTTGACTTTCATAACCATCCTTCAATAATTTTCAAGTTTTCGAAAATTTATCAAAATCCCGTTTTATGGGAACATTAGAATTCATTTTCATTCCCCTGGTTGTAGAGTTGAGGAATCTGAGGCCTTTATTAGAGTTGAGAGAACTTTCCCCGTGTTTCACAGGTAGAAACAGAACTGGAACTAGAAGTCTTGTTCCTGATTCTAGCTCACTCTCTTTTCTGGTAGTTTTGTAGAAAAACATTTTTTAATCTTAATTTGAATCACTGAAATAAAGGAACAGAAGATGTTATTAGGTGTATGTGAAGTGTCCTATCCTAAGATGGTTTTACAGGCACTGTTGAGTAGTCTCATGTACATGTTTGGTTTCAGTGTTTAGATTAGAAATCACTGCCCCAAACCCTATAAATAAACATAATGAAATGCAATGTATTTCTTGACAGGCATTTTACAAAATTCATTATGCAATGATTTTGAGATGGATGTAGTTCTGGGTAACATCTGCAAAATAAAGTATACATGGACTTCTTAGCTGCTGATGGATCAGGATACTGATTGTATAGGAGACTTAATTTCTATTCTTTTTACTTGCTGTATGAAATGTGATCAGATTATTTTACTACCAATGGTTACTTTCAAAGCCAGTTGTATTTTGGCTGATAATATATAGATTAAATTGTCTTCATTCCTTATATGTTTAGAAAGTTTTGCTTTGTCTGCCTGCTTACTTTTGTTTGTAAGCATGAGGGAAATAGAATATTGCTAATACTGAAACCACAGTCCAGTAACTAAAGGCCTTAATTAAGTTCATATGTGATGCGAAATGCACTACCATCATTCTCTATAACTAATGTACCTTAACTTTACCCATTCTTGTATTTACAAGAAACAAATTTAAGAATCATATTCTGAATGTGTGGTATATAGGAACAAAAAAAAGGTAATACTTGGAAAAATGTGAATCAGTTAGGAAAATGTATCAACTTAAATTCGGGTCAAAGAAAATACTCATAATTTCTCCCAATATTTTAGCTGAGGAGTTTCCTTTAAGTTGATACAATCTACTGTGGGAATTAAACAAGATTTATCGGTAAAGAAGAGTTCTTTCAGGTTGTATCCCCAAATTGTGATGTACCATTTAAAAAATATTCAAGTAATAGTTTCCTAGAGCGTTGCACATTCCTATTCAGTGGTTTTGGTGTGTGCATAGCTTTTAAAAAGTTAACCTTTATGGAAGTTAGGAAAGATAAGTGTTTACCGTTTGGAAAAACAAAAATTAAGCTAAATAAATAATGTTTATTTTCTAGCTTTCAAAGACAACAGACTATTGTGTGAATAAATAAACTGTTAAAACATGTGGTGAAGTGTCATTTTCCTTTCCAAGAAACAAAACAAGGTCACTTGATTTCAACAGATGATGGTGTTTAGATACTTATGTCATAGGCCAGCCTTGAGAGGAACGCAAGTTCTAATGACAGCTAATGGCCTGTGAGTCCTTGTGTTTTCGTAGGAAGCGGGTGGCTGTTGCCTCAGTTCTGTGTGGTAGGTGGGCTCGCGGAGGTGCAGCCATGCTTGAGAGTGCTGGGCAGGGACAATCTGTTGGAGATTGGGCAAGTATATGGACATTCATCCTCTTAGAGGATTTCAGTGATAGGGCTTCATTTATACAACATCTCAGCATCATGCCCTCTAGTGGGGGTGTGTTCATGATTTATAAGCCATCTGATTTTTAAATAATCTTCTTGGCCATAGGTTATGAGTATAGTATAAAGCTTGATCATCAAGGCAGTGCTGTCTCTGCATGCCCTCCTCTTACTACACGTTTAAAACCCAGTTTTGGGGCTGGAGCGATAGCACAGCGGGTAGGGCATTTGTCTTGCACACGATTGACCCAGGTTCGATTCCCAGCATCCCATACAGTTCCCCAAGCACCGCCAGGAGTAATTCCGGGGTGAATGAGGCAGGAGTAACCCCCGTGCATCGCTGGGTGTGACCCAAAATGGGGGAAAAAAATCTAGTTTCTTGGACTACGATGTAGTCTAGCAGAGACACTTCAGTTGTCTATGAAGCCCTGGGTTTCCTACCCAGCATCTCACACCAAAGGTGACATGCTCAATTTCTTGTTTTCATTCGTGCGTGACCGTCCTGAAAGAAGCACAGGATGTTAGGATAGCTCTGGTTTTGTTCTGGCAGGGTTATTCAACTACAAGAAGTCATCTTATGGACTTAAAAAATATATAAGATAACGATTGCATGATGCTGCCAATGATACTGGTATGTGTTGGAGGCCTGCCATGCTTTGGAACAGCTCCAGTCACTTTATTTTATAAAGTTGTTCACAGTAATTTATTACATTCAATATTCCAACACCAATTACATCTCACTCCCATTTTTTTGAATTTTTTCACCACCCATGCCTGCCCCAAGGGCAGACTCTAAATAATTTTGTATTGTTATAAATCCACTAAAAATGGTCCAAAAAGGTTTTCTTGGAGGAAAGTGTGAAGATTGTTGTATCACCTTGGAGCCATTAAGCCCTTGATAAAAGATCACTAAAATGTTGATATAGGTTGAGCTGCGCGCACGTGCGTGTGTGTGTGTGTGTGTAAGTCAAGATTGGTTGCCTTCTACCTTACACCCCATCAAATGTGAGGTGGTACTCCTGGTACATGAGTGACTTAAAGAATGAGATATGTTCAGGGACTCTAAAATTTTAAATTAGATGATACAGCTCGGGTTAAATTTTTAACTGGATGATGATTTGGGGGTTCATAGACATCTGTAGCTTGTTGCTCTCTTCTGAGATTTATTTGTGAGTCTCTGGATCATGGCCCTTACTGAGTTTAAATGACACCCAGAGGCAGTTCGTGGGGTGACTGTTAGGAAGCGCCGGGAGATGGGAGGGGCCCATGACTGACTGCGAGCCTGGAGTTTTCAGTCCAAGTCCTGCATACCTGGGTTTTCTGGTGGATTCATTCTCATACCGAAGAGCTTGTCCTGAGCCTGTGAAGATCGCAGTGAGCATGGTGGTGATTAACTTCTGGAGGGTTTTGGCTGCCAGGGCTCTGTTGTGGCCGTTAGTGGGTTCACCTGCTCCCTCTGAGGTCCCCTGGGTGAAGTTGGCCTGGCGCAAGGTGTGGTGACGTCTCTGCAGTGTGTTGCTTTATTGAGATTTATTTGTGAGTCTTGCTCCAGTCACTTTAACCCCCAGCTGAGACAGCTTCTTTAGAGGCTAAAGTGCCAAAACCCAAAATAAAGTTGGGTTTAACTAAGTTCTGCAGTATAGAAAAACTGCATTTTCAGAATTCTGTGCATATTCTTGAAATAATGTCAGCTGTCTTTAGGTTATTAGTGCAAAGGCCATTTCTTAAAGTTGGGGTCGATCATCAAAAGACCAATAAAGGTAACATTGGTTTGGGGGCAACTTTTGGTGGTACTCTGGTGGATTGTGCAGTACTGGGAATTGAACCTGCGCCCAAATGCACTCAACTTATATCTAGGCCCTAATTTTTTTTTTCAATTTAAGTAGAACCTCAGCTTCATGTATGCTGATGTACTTACTGAGCTGTCCTCTATCAGTAAAAAACTTAACTTATAAATAGGGGTGAACTATTGGCAAATAATTTTTTATTGCCTTTTTTTCCTTTTTGGGTCACACCTGACGGTGCACTGGGGTTACTCCTGCCTCTGCACTCAGTTACTCCTGGCATTGCTCAGGGGACCATATGGGATGCTGGGAATTGAGCCCCGGACGGCCACGTGCAAGGCAAATGCCTTATCTGCTGTGCTCTCTCTCCAGCCCCTGGCAAACAATTGTTACAGGAATCATTTCTAATCAACACTCATGTATAAACTATTTTTACCCATCCAAGAAATTGTGTTTCTCAAAGTATGAGATTGATTTCAGGATGCTTACCACTGTGTCAAGTTTTATTTCTGTCAACTCCTTATCCAGGTCCTGTGAAATAGCTGCTATTCTGACATCCTTTGGCTTAGAGCTTCAGTGACAAAATCAGATCCACTTGCTTGTACCCTGGTCAAAGGCTAATAGTGCCTTCACGAAACAGTGGATCTTGTGATGCCGCTGATTTCTACTTTCAAAGTTGTATTGATACTTATTTGTGAAAACTTTTAGACTTATTCTCATCTTTATTTCCTGAAGAAACAAAAACAACTGCCCATTTTAGTTCTTGAACCAAACATGAACTGATGTATTTTTTAAATGCGTAGATTTCTTTGGCTTTCAAGTGATCAAGTAGATTTCTTTAGATGATTTATGTTATTTGAATGGCTGGAGAAGGAAGTGAGATATTACTCTTGTATTAGGGTACTTTAAGATTGATTACTCATGTCTGAAACCTGACTTTATGGCTTAAATTCTTGATATTGTTATGCTTCTATGAGAACAAAGACTGTTATGTAGACACTTAAGATCCTTGAGTGCAAATTGGCAAGATACTACTGAAACCTAGGTTCTGAAATTACATTACAGAGAAATGAAATTGCAAGTAATTGAAGTCTTAGATTCTTGAGCAATAAACTCCCATTGCCCTTCAGTACGTAGAGGTTGCTTAGGAAACTGATTTGAGTGCAGGCTTGTCCTAACCTCGCTGTGTTAATACAATATGTACATTTCCCAATAGGCAATCAACATTTTTCAGTATGCAGTAAGTACCAAGCTACTTAGGATTAAAAATAGGGAAGTATTTCACATGAAAAACAATAGGTGGACTTGAAACAGTTTTGTTGCAAATATTTTTGGATGGTTTTTGTATATTTTGCCATGTAAGTTTTAAGAAATAGTTGAATTAAAATCCAGATTTTTTTATTTTTTTGTTACTGTGTTTGGCATATCGAATAGATCACAGGTAGCTTGCCAGGCTTTTGTTTTGGGGCACACCTTGTGCTCAGGAATCACTGCTGGCAGGACTCAGGAGCAGGTGAGTTGCTCAGGATCAAACCTGAGTCAGCTGCAGACAAGTCAAGTGCCCTACTTGCTGTGCTCTCCCCAGCCCTAAAATTCAGATTTTCTTTTAAGATTTGTTTAATTCACTTCCCCAAGAGACTTCCCCCCCCCCTTTGGGTGGAGGTGGGTGGTGGGCACACACAGTGGTGCTCAGGGGATTCTCCTGCCTCTGCATGCAGGAATCACTCCTGGTGGACTGGGGACCATATGCAATGATGCTGGGGATTGAACCCAGGTCAGTTGTGTGCAAGGCAAGCACTTTACCCACTGCACTATTGCTCTGGTTCCAGGGAAAATAATTTTCTACTTTATGCTTTGTGCTTCACATCCACTGACCCATTGGATCTGTCAGTTGAGAATTACCTTATCTGAGCTTTAGATACGTAACACATATGTTTATGTTTTGGAAATCATAGAAAACCTTCCTGCATTAGGAAATGTGACAAAAATTTCTGTGTGTGTGGTGGTGGTTTGGTGGGGTGGGGGTTGGGTTCACATCCAGTCACCAGTTCTCAGGGGCACTTCCTGGCTCTACCCAGCCAGGACCAAGGTGGTGCTAGGGACTTGAACTAGAGTTGGAGGGATGCTAAGAAAGTGCCTTACCCCAACTCCAGCATTTGCATTTCTAAGCTAACATTCCTTTGTAAGATGGGTGGAATAGGAATTTCACGGAGGTGGGTGTATTGGAATATAAAATGAAAGGTTTTTCAAAATTGATCACTTGATCACTTGACTTCCCGTTAATCGGTGATTTGCACGAGTGGGCCCCAGTAACGTCTCCATTTGTCCCTGTCACGTGCTAGTGTAGCCCAATGGCGTCTGTTTGTTCTAGGACCACCAAGAGCCTCAAACCGATTGTTCAGGATTGGCAGCCTAGTTCAGCCTTGAGATTTTATCAGCCTTTCCTTCCTCATCCTTCTCAACGCTGCCATATTGGTGACGCCTTCAGGGTCAGGGGAATGAGACCCATTGTAATTACTGGTTTTGGCATATCAAATACACAATGGATAGCTTGCCAGGCTCTGCCGTGTGGCGGAATACTCTCAGTAGCTTGCCAGGCTCTCCGAGAGGGATAGAGACTTTTGGGGTGGCCTCTAATCGCCCTTGTAGGTGTTCCCATGGTTCAAACCATATTTGAACCCTATCAAATATGTTGCGGCAATTCTGAAAGATGGGTATTAAGTGTCTTATAATGTGTCCGGAAAGCGTCCTGGAGCGTGGCGGCAGCTGGGTAGTGGAGGTAGTGGAGGAAATTCAAAATGTTAAAGTGCTAAAAATTTGTGTATGTTTTCATTGTCTTAGGGGTACAGCGATTTTTACTGAGTTACAGTAGATATGATGTAGTAAATGGCATTCATGTTTCCAATACACAGTCAAACTTTAAATTAACA